TGCACGCGGGACGAGGGGACAGGAGGGGCTTTTTCCAAGAGCAGGGTGAGGAGAAAGAAAAAATCCTGCTGCTTCAGCATGTCTGTCCAAGTGCTCCTGTATCAGCAATACGCTGGGGAGAGCAAGGAGAGAAGAGCAGAGAGAGGGGGCTGGGCTTTCCCTGTCTGTGAAGTTCCTGAAGAGCAAATTAGTCTGGTGACTGATGAGCCGCCCTGGAGTCAAGGCTTTCCCAAGCGACTCTCATTTGGAGTGTCTCGGTCTTGGGATGTCTGGCCTGAAAAGCCCTGCTCCTTTTGTTTTTCCTGGGGGGCTGTGTGCCCAGTACAAGATTAGTTTAGACCCTTTTTTATGTAACTCAGGTTGGCATAAACATTGTTGTTAAACAAGCTGGGCAGTTTCTGACTTAAGTCTCGCAGGTAATGACGAAACAGCACTCATGAATAGTTGCCGGCTTTCTCTTCCTCAGAGAATGGGGCTGCAATTGTGAAGAACCAGAAGTTTTAGTCCAGCTTTAGAGAACAAAGCTCCAAGTGTTGCCTTTTCAAAACAAAAGTCTTAATTCAAGGGTTGTATTAGGTCACGGATAAATCTGTTAAGTTGTGAAAATAAGACACGCTAGGAGGAAAATCATTGCTGAAGGATATAGGGATGGTACAGACTTGGGACCACGCTCTGAGACTTGTGATGATGAGGAAGGACATCTGGTTACTTGCTTTTAGACCGTCCACCTCTGGAGTATTCGGAGATCTTTGTTTTGAACTGACTGTAACTTTACTGAAAGAGGAACTTTTTGCTGCATGATAGACACGCCTACCTCTCACTGGTTTCAGCAGTACACTGTAGAAGAAAACTGTACTGTACATAGTATATGCTACAGCACAGCAACCGTTAATGTGTGAAAGGCTTGAAAGAGCTTTTAAAGCTCTTGAATCACTTTAGAGAGTTCACATATATTTTTTCAAAGCATTTGGGTGAAAGTCCTTATCTAAGTCTGCTTTCATTTGTCTCTTGCGTTCCTTAAATTTGAACAAACATTTTAAAATACCAAGAGAGGAGAGGTCACAACAGAAGTGAAAGCTGCAATTTAAATATTCAAAACACTTAAGAGCTCTTGTGCTAGCAGGTTTCAGTTCTGTCTGGTCGGGTGTAATCCTGCTCCAGGTGACGTTTCCTGGCTCTCAAATTGATCTTTAAGTATGATCAAAAGGGCTGTTGCAGTAAGGGTGAGATGAGGTTGCGGCTCCGTATTCTTGTTTGGCAGCAGTTCTGAAACTGATGTCACCTGTTTTCCGCTCACATTTTAACCCCATAGACATAAGTATCTTGTTTGTTAGGGCTGCAGAGCTGAATCGCTCTAGTTTCAGAACGCGTGGAGGGCCTGTCCGTGACCGTGGTGTGCCAGTGCTGTTCACCTTCAACAGGCTGCAAACTGAGGCTTTCTGAAGGAAATCTCAGATCAGGATCACTTGAGGGGAAAGAATAACTGAAAGTCTAAAGGACTTTGATGCAAGATGTCATTAGTAAAGGACCTAAATTTGCCACATTTTCAATGTTGCCACTAGTCACTAGCAAAACTGAATGATGCAATGTTTTTATGTTTGGTTGCTTCCATCTAGACAATTAGCTGATCATAATACAGCATAATGGACTGAGCTCAGCGTGATTTCTCACACAAGGTATTTTCAGAGTTCTCTGGCTTGGATGCGAATACCATGATTAACGAGCTGTGCAGTTCTTACAAAATTTACCACAGCATGCAGAAATTTAAACATCCAAGCTCTTCAGCTCACTACATGCTTGTGAGCTCCCAAGGGCTTCAAATACAGGACAGGATTGACCCCTGCGCACACTACATTCATACAGCAGCCTCTGCTCTGACCCATGAATATCCTGCAACTTGTCAATAAACCCAAGCAAGCTCCCAGTGACAATGCAAAGGGAAAGGAATACTTCACAGCCTCTTTAGATCATGCCTACATAGCAAAATAAAGTGCAAGTGTAATGTACTATCTTAATCTATCTAGTACAGGTAATTGTAGCGTTGAATATGTGGTAACAATTGCTAGCAATTAGAATAAGCATCCAGAAGGCCTATGCTCTGGTTGATAGCATGTGCTAAAGCTCATACTGCCTCATGTCATCTGCTGACATAGGTAACAAAGGTATATAAGCATCTGCTAGAATCATGCCTTTACTTTACTCTGAAGCCATGCGGCTTGTCATTTGCAGTAGACTGCAGTGATAGTATGTGGATCCACTCACCCCTTCTAGGAAGGAAGCTATACGTTCCGAGCAACCACCGAAAGTAGATTTAAAGGGGATTTGCTCCTGTGAGGAGAATGGAAGCCATGAGATTGTTCATAGAAGAAATCATACGGGGACTTACCTGCTAGGGACTAATTCAAGAATTCCAGATACAGGATAAAACTTTCAACAGTTCCTAAAATCCCCATTTTCAAAAGGACATCTCAGAGCCATTGGCTCTCAATGATCACAACTAGTAAAGACAAATTTATGGGGTCCCCAGTGACTTCCACCAAGTCAGCTACCAGGCTGTATATTTCTTTAAGGAATTTTTTGGAGTACTGAATTGTGGATGGTACCGCTCACTTGTTTGTTTTATTCTAAGCTGAGCATTGTTTCATTCCCTTTCCTCCTCCATTGTCATAGAAAGGGGACAAAAGAAATCCCGAGGAATTGGGACCAACATTTAAATCTCAAATCTAGCAGCACCCACAAAAAGGAGACCTTTTTTTTAAAACTGAGTAAAAAACTGAGTGAAATGGCTGAGCTCTCTGTAGCTTCTGTCTGAAAGGAAGAGAGTTGTGAATTTTGGAAACAGTAAGATGAATGTGTCTTTAGATGTGGCTTATGTGCTGGAATACAAGGCTAAGTGACAAACTGCCACAGCTGGGTGGTCTTACTCTCTACTCTGCAGTAAATATGGACATTTTGAAACAAAGTATTAGACAAGGGAACACAGCTGGTGAGGTTTGAAGAGAAATATAAAATGGGATGAAAACTAACAGTTATTGGTATGGACAGGGCAGATCCAGGATTTGGCAAAGGGGGGCTGCAGGAGCAGCTACCCATGTTGCAGGGATGCCTGCACCTCTTGCTCCCAGCCTCCTCGCCCCCACCAATGTAGGCAGACCACACTGCAGGAGCCTCTGGAGACTTTTAAATTCCCCTCCATGCTCAAAGGTGTGACCCCTGCACTTCCCTCCCTCCTCCTGCTTGCCAGTGTTACTTTTCCCACTGTCCCATGGGTGGGGAAAGCTTTAAAGCTACTTCTGCCTACTCCAGCCAGGGTATGTGGAGGCTGGGCTCAGCTGGGGACAATGGCAGCAGTGATGGGCAGGGAGGGGGTGGGTTTCCTTTTCCCCACACCTGCTCCCATAGACCCCCTGCTTATTGCTGCTGCCACCGCTGTCCCTAGCTGAGGGCAGCATCACAAAGGTTGGCTGGAGTGGGCAGGAGAGGGTTTGAAGCTTACCCTGCCACCAGGACAGTGGGGAAAACAGCAGTGACAGGAATGGGATGGAATGGGAAAGGGGGGAGAGGATGTGCCTTTGAGCATGGAGGGAAAGTGAGGAGGATTCTTACCTCCTTTGGGGACTTGAAAGTCCCAGGGCCTCCCATGGAGCAGTCCAGTCTGGAAGGCAGGAGGGGTGGGGGCGGGGTGCCGCCGTGCTGCTGCACTCCCTCTGAAGCCTCCCCTGGACACAGAGGAGAAAAACAAAACTGTCCTGCTGGAGGCAGGTGATGTAAGTATCAATGAGCAGAGAACTGTACTTGTGTCTTTAAAATCTAGTCTTCACTAGAAATTATGGAGCTGGAAGTGCTCTATTCCTAGGGACTCTTACAGTACTAGCTGGATTGTGACTGCAATTACCTGGGATAATCTGGGATAATTATTTTGAATAATTAATGGTATAATCCCTAGAAGTCCTGAAGATGGAAGGAATTGTTTTTATACACTTTGGAACTAAGCTCCGGATTAAAAGAGGCTTGAACTGAAAATTTATGAAGTTAAAAAGAAAATCCACAAAACCTTACAGTACTGCACAGGATTTCCGGATGACACCAACAACATCACATCAGTATTTTGGGGATTGCAAATATGGAACATCACAAAATGTTTTTGGTGTCTGAGAATTCAGTCTTTCAGCCTTTCAGCTAAGACAATTCTATTCATATATTTCATAGATTTCATAGACATTAGGGCTGGAAGGGACCTCGGCAGATCATCGAGTCCAGCCCCCTGCCCCAGGGGCAGGAAGTCAGCTGGGTTCATAGGATCCCAGCAAGATAAGCATCCAGTTTGCTCTTGAAGGTGTTCAATGTAGGCGCTTGAACCACCTCCAGTGGTTCAAATCCCTGTAACATCAAGTGCCAACATCAAATCCTAGGGTCTGCCATAAGCGTAATTAGCTGTAGATTTCTGCTGAGATTGTCTTTGATTTATGGTCCATATTTCTGTAGAAGCCTGCTACCTGGTGTGTGTGTTACATTAACAGAGTACTTAATAACATCCCAAATTACTGCCATTTATATGTTGCCAGAGGGAAAGTCTGCAAGACTAAAGGAAGGTATGTAGGAGGTGAAAGTATAGGCATTGTCTGCTGCATCTGTGGATAGGTTTATCTCCTGGATCTGGGTTAGGTTCTCTGGGTAGGGAGCTGCCAATTTCCACCCCTGTATTCATCACCTGAGGGGTTGAAGTTTCAGTGAAATACCATTCAAATTTTTTTGAATGTTTAACCTCTGCTCTCAGTAGTGTCATAGCAAGTGTGTTGCCTTCTTTGAATCATTAATTTGATTTAGCCTAATTCAAATATGTATGACTTCAACCTTCATTTCTGCTGAATTCCAAGAAAGGCATGTTTTTAAGATACTACCTTCTGGCCTGAACATTTATTTGATCACCTGCAAGTACCTATAATAATTCAAGCTCAGTTGAGAAAGTAAATTGACAATGTCTACATTTTCTTTTTTAGGACTGGTCTGGGAGTCTTATTGTGGCTGCTTTAGCTGGAGCTTTTGGATCTTCCTTTCTTTATGGATACAATCTCTCTGTAGTGAACGCTCCAACAGTGGTAAGTGGCCTAGAGCATTTTGTATTGAATTTCAGTAGAGGGCAATGTTGTAAAAAAATTGCATGTCTTTAAAATACTTGTTCGTAAGATTTTCTGTACGTGTGATACTGTTTAACTTCTGAGAGGCTTTTGTTTACCATAACTAGGTTTATATATTTGTTTCTGTCTACCTGTAGTCATTGTCTTTTACTCAGATATTTGTCATGAAAACAGACTGTTTCTGCTGAGCTGAGTAGGTTAATTTTAATGATGTTGTACTGTGTGGTAAGGTAATTATAGTAGCTCACCTTTTTAGGTACTGAGTATATATATGCACATGCAGCAATTGACTATTTATCAGCTTTTGGCCGGTTTTTCCCTCCTCCTCAAGAGTTGTGCAGCATTCTCTTCCCAGTTGAATAATTTAAGTGTCTCTCTGTTCTTTAAAATAATGAGCCTATTCTCCTGAATTTCATGTTGGTACCTTGCCATGTTTTGAAATTGCTATATTGCTGTATTGACCATTTATCACCTACAACATGTTGGGTACTGATGAGATGAGTGAAATACTACGAAACCATGTAGTACCTGTGTAGTACTCTTTGAGTTTTATACCATATTTTATACCTTATTTATAATTATTGAACAACGTTTGGAAAACTTTAATTGTATTATATTATGTATACATATTTAGGGGTCTGTGTAAATTGAGGAGATTTTGCAGGGAGATTATGGGTCTAGCTACCATATACACAGGCTGACTGCAGCAGGGCCTCCCCATGCCTCTGATTGGGCCATAGTAGCCCTACCCCTTGCCACTGATTGGCTGTGAGGGCTGTCCATCATGCGACCCTGCCCCTCACTGCTGATTGGTGGCAAGGGGCAGGGTCACATGACAGGCAGCTCTCTCAGGCAGTCAGCAGAGAAGAGTGGGTGTGGCAACCATCCTGGGCTGCCCTTTGGGCAGGCTGCTCCCTTTCCCCACAGCTGGGCTGCAGTGCCGTGGGCCAGTGTTGTGAAGAGTGCTGGCACCCTGTGGGGAGCCAGCATTTTATTTTTAGTAAATTTCTTCTTTTTTTTCCACAGACTTTGCAGAGTTCGCAAAATCACAATTTTGGTAGGTCCCAATAGACAATATATTTACTATATTATATTAATATTATATATATTACATTATACATTATATATAATCATATTAATATTTTACACACACACACACTACTTTTAATCTCTATATATAGAGAGATTAAAAATAGTGGCTCCAGCTAATATGTATTAGCTGGAGCTACTATTTTGAAATCTATTAAAACATAAGAACAAAGGCACATTCATTGAAAATGAAGGTGTCAAAACTGATAAAAAGAACTAACTTGTAGAATAATTGCCAACAGAGATCACTGACACTAAGAGTGAACTCCGTGGGTTGGGCTGGGATTTCACCCCAAGAGCTTACATGTATAAGAAGAAAGTCCGTTGTTATACAGTAGAACTCCGATGTACGCAAGTATTGTGTTCCGGAGGAATTTCGTGTAAGTCGAATTCACTTAAATTGGAACAACTTTCCGCATAGGAAATAATAGAATAGTGAGGGGTAGTGTACCCCAGACATACCTTAGTCATAGCTTTTTTTCCCCTTTTCTCAGCGGAATCGCTTTTAGGAGGCGCGTCTAGCGTCTCACCTATGCATCTTGAGATGCCACTACCACAATGGTGGCACAGCTCCACTTGATTCCTCCTGCAAATCTTGTGAGACATTCGCATATATGTGCAAATCTCACAAGCATTCGTGTATATACACGAATGACGCACATCACGAGGGGCATTTTTTAGTCCGGACCCTAATAAAAGGATCGCGTAAATGCGAGACACGTGTAGGTCAGAATTGCGTAAATTGGGGGTCTATTGTACTGCAAAGGATAACAAATTAGGTATATAAAGCCTCATGCTTCATGGCATAAACTGACCCCTAACTGAAAAGATTAGGATGACATTATTTGTATATGAAGCTTATTCTATAAATTGCTTGCTAAAAAGCTTTTAAGAGCTTCCTCTGATGCAGCTAGTATTGTCACTTGTCAGGGAATATTAGACTACCTGGACTACATGTCTGATCCATTTTGAAAGTTTATATGTACTATGTCAACTTATGATTTTGCTCTATATAAACCAGGTTGGAAATGACCATTACCCAACGAACTGTGGTGCTGCAAGTACCCTTGGTGGTGATTCAGCTGGTGACTGTTTTTTTCACCCTCTGAATCAGCATTGTTCTAATAGAGCCATGCTGCTCAACCTCGTGGCCCCATGGGCTGGGTGAACGGCATGGGGCCAGTCCATGGACTGGATCCCACCTGGGGATGGTGCACAGGGTTAGGTCCCATGTACCTAGATTGTGCCCCACGCCATCCCAGGCTCACACACTTGGATTAGCCCTGTTCTGCCCCAGCCCGTGCACCCTATCTAACAAGCAAGGCCACGTTATCTGGCCTGTAGAGTTTCCCATGGGTACAGAAATTTGGCATTAGGGGAGTGGTTATTAACACTGGCACTCCTCCCCCGCCACCAAATTTTCAGACCTGTGGAGCACCCCACAGGCTGCATGGGCCTTGGGCTACATCTGGCTTGTGGCCCAGGGGTTGAGAGCCCCTGGAATAAAGCATTAGAGGCCAGTCTGATCTTACAAGTGTCAACTTTCCTATGAGACTTAAAACAGACATAATTAAAGATGGTATGATGTTTTTGACAAAAACAAAAGTAAGAATGGGAGTGGGAAGAGTGTGATAGCTGCACGCTCAGCAAGATGAGAATGTTGGAATTAGTCACAGTTGGAGTTGTACTTATCATGTCCCTTTGACCTTGCACTCTCCTCATCAGTACAGCCTATTACATGGTTCAGAAGCTTGTCTTGTACATATTACGGGGTGTTCTGCTTGTAATCATTACTAGAATTGCTCCTTTTTTTTTTTTTTTTTTGCACTAAGAGATTGACATGCCATTGCCATATTCCTGGCATTGGTTTCACTGAAGCACTTCAGGAAGAAGACTGCATGAAGGTTGTTGTCTTCCACTCTAATTGCCAATTTTATTTATTTAGAATGAAATAGAGCCACCTTCATCCATGCTCAGTCCTACGTCAGCCTGGGTTAGCCAGTGTCTCTTTTTATCATGGGCCCTGAAAATAGCAATAATTAGGTGTGCTGCCCAAGAACAGAATCACAACTTGGTTTCTGGTTCCCCTCTCACTCCAAGTACTAGCGAGAGAATAAACTGAAGGGGGTCAAGGGATGTACTGGCTTAACACAAGCCCCTTTTTTTTCTAGTCCAACTCAGCTGCAAAGACGAGGGTGCTGAGAAGTGTGGGGAGTGCTAACTTGATTGACTGACTCTCTTTACTTGATTGCCTGACTCTCTTCCCCTGCCATTTTGTATTTGGCCTGCCTGCATGATACAAGGGTGACAGCTTTGCAGAACCTTGTGCTCTCCCACTCATCACAGAGGAATGAGGAAGGTGCCTCATGCCTCATTGCATCATGTGACTATGTAGTATAGGTCACGACCTTGCCCTGTGTGAGCACACCTGTTGGAAGACTTCTGCAGTGTAAGGGAGGGGCCCTAAAGAAAGAGGATGTAATTGTTAATAATCATGACCTTTTTATCAGGTCATGTCTTGCAAGTGCTGCAAAACACTTGCCCATAATGATAAACCAGGTGCTGAATTAGTCAACTTGTCTGAGCAACTGAACTGCTTTGATCATTCACAGCCTAGCCTTCAGCAGTGCTGAGCCCATCCCATGAGATGTTGAGCACTTTCAGCTCCAGGTTCACTTGAAAGCAATTACCATCAATGTCCAACCTTGCACAGGATCAGGCCCCTCCATCCTCAAGGAGTTACTATATATGGAACTGAGAGCTAAAAAAAAGCCTGGTCAATACAGCTGTTGCTGAAAAGGTGAGGGTTAGGAAATGGATGAGTACAGGTTAGTATGCTCATTGAGCTCTGCATGGGGAGATGATTCAAGGTTGATTTAAAGCAACTGGCTATCAGATCTTCCCAGGTGAACCTTGCAGAACTGATTATTGCTATTTTCAGAATTTACCAGTATAGTTATTGATCAGTGTTCCAGGATATACCACCTCTTCAAACAAAAGGAAAAGCCTGAAGGGCCCCATAGCAAAATTACCTCATGCCAGTGAGCATCAGCAGAAGAAATCATATTGGGAGTAAGTTAGTGTAACTTCTCCTTTGCTGCAAGGAAGGAAATAAAACTGCACTAGCCTTTTTGTTGGAGCAGCTTGCATCACCCTCCATGCTGATTCTTAGGTATGCTAGTGGGTATAGCATGTTAAATCTAGAGCTGTGCCCATTTTTCTACTTCTTGTCTACCCACCTGTATTTATGAAGGAACAGAAGCCAAGCAACAGCTTGTCTGCTTGTATGAGTAGAACCACAGAGGAGAAGAAGCAGGCTCCTTGTTCTTCTTGCTTGCTCCCCTGTGTGGGTCCTCAGCAGGGCTTATGACAGAGCCGGTGGGGTGGCATTGGCAGAACTCCCTCCAGAAATATTTAGGAAGCCTGACAAATCTTGAGATGCTCAGTTTGAAAGGGTATGAATCCAAGTTCTGTTCTTTCAGGGTTCTTTTTGTTCAGTACATAGGAGAATGATGCAATGGTCCACTTCACTTTTAATGGTAAAAGTAATAGCTCTGCCATTTTTTTGTTACCATGCATAGTTTGCTTTCTTCCTGCAAGTAGTCATATTTGTACATTGGACTGATATTTAGGAGTGGAATTTAATACCAAGTATATTAGAACTGCTTAGAGAGCTAAAGACTGAGATAACTTAGAAGTACTAGTCAGGCATACTCACCATAAGCTCTAGGTGGCCTATAGTATTAAAAATCAGGTCACTGCCTTCTGTTAAAAAGAACTCTCCTGTCTTCCTGTAGTTTCAGTTTCATAGTAGGTAGGGTCGGAAGGGACCTGAGCAGATCATCAAGTCCGACCCCCTGCCATGGCAGGAA